AGCACTTCAAAGGATTCAGAACAAAATTCTGAAGATGATTTTGAAGTTGCCTCCCTGGTACAGTACTACCGAAGTACACAGAATTTCGAATGTTGAGACTTTAGCACAAATGTCCAACAAAATAATTAATAATTTCCGGCAAAAATCGTTACAATCCTCAATTGCAACGATTAATTCCCTTTATACTTAGATAAGATTTAGTTTTAGTTATTTAGTTTTAAGCTATCAATTGTTATACTGACATGCAGGTTTAAAAAACCTGTTTAAAATACTGAATTGCCAAGACAGGAACAATGTAAAAATACTTAGATATATATCATAACAATTAAGGCTGGTAAGTTACTGTAGTAACTGGAGCACCTAGGTTAAAAATGAAATGTAATTTATTTTGAATTTGGAACAAATAAAGAGTTAAAAAAAAAAAAAAAGATTATAATAAATAAATAAATAATATCATTGCGTGTGACATAGGTGTAGCTCTCTCGCATACATTTTATGTTTTAAAGCTATGTTGTTGGCACATTTTGCGCGCATTTTGGTTTACGCGATGGTTGATCAGTTGTTGCGTTAGTGGCGTTTTCCATTGAAAAGTAAAGCCATGTTGTAAGGTACGGATTTATTGGCTTAGGCTACTTTTACGATTTTATGCAGTTTTAAGCACTAATACCAATAACTAATTTTCCGATTTTGAATTTGTGTCATAATTTCTATAATTTCTATGTGAGCTGAAGAGCTGTTCAAAAGAATCGACTCCCTTCAGTGAGCTGGATGGGTTTTATCCACTCAGTCAGATGAGCTGTTTTGCCCACCTCTAATTCCACTCTCAAGAGTCAGAAATATGGGAAATAGATATAATGTCTGCCTAATTGCCTCTAATTTGGGCCCATATATAAATTCAGCAATCGACTAAATTATCAATAGCGGTAAAAAATATCCATTAGTACCATTCCAATGACGCGTTCATCTAGATAACATTGATAAATAGCAGATTGTTAGCAATGGGCCCAATCTTAGATCCATAGGCCAACATTAGAGCCACTTCCCCTATATACAATTGTGGAGATGGACCAGCGTCTGGCTGAAAATCTCCTTAATAAAGACAACCAACCAGGGTATCTACTACCTGGAAAGACCTGGAAAACCGGGAATTTACAGGGAATTTTATTTTTTTTTTCTGGAAAAACCTGGAATATTCAGGGAATTTTGGTTTCACTCAGGGAATTCTCCAATTATCACTTCATTCGTAATTCAAAAGAAGATTTTCGGTCAGTTTCTCGAAACGTTTCTTAACGGCACTGAACTGGACAAGCATCTGGCGAAAAATACTTGAAGATGGGCAAAACGAAGCGAATGTGCTGGCGGAAAAAAATAATTCGTCATTATTCCGAATAATTTTGTTTTCTATTTGTTACCACTTTCTCTAAATTGATCGAACCAATAACAATCAAAACACATGTATCTCAGAGAAAATTGTGTTGATTGGGGAACTAATAAGAGATTTTAGAGATGTGAAACAATGAGTCTGTCTCGATCTTCCAAACATATTATCAAAATGATAAATATTTTGGTTTTGAAAGCATATTGTTATCAAATTTTGATATATCGTTTTATCGAAATAGTATGTATGGGGTTTCCAAAACACGGGTTTCTTACTTGTATTTATATTCTTGAATAAAAAAAAAATACTACACAAATACCAAAAAAGAATGTAATATTGATCGACGAAATACATGCTACTGTATGAATAACTAATGTGATTGCAAAAACCAAATACGATATTACACCCATGGATATAATTTCTTTTCGCAAATTATATGTAGGATAAATGCACCAATAGTGAAGATACTTTAGTGCAATGTGTTCCTATGTTGGCTTATAGAGTCTCCCCAAGCCGCCATAGAAGTACATTGCACTAACGTACCTCCACTATTGGTGCACTTACTAAACATAAATTGTACAAATTAATATTAAACAACCTACACACTTAGTTTTTTCTACCGAGCTCAGCTGTGCAAATCTCGGCAAAAACAGTTTCACTGAGATCTCAGTAACAATGACGTTTTATTGCTGAGTCTCGGATAATGCTTAGCTGAATCTCAGCAAACAAATGAAATGTTTGCGGAGATCTCAGTGAAACTTTTTTTGCCGAGATTTGCACAGCCGAGCTCAATAGAAAAAAAAACTAAGTGTGTATGTGCATCTGTTATGCTGTAATATTTAATAACTTTTTTGCTGTGCCGACTTATAAGTACCAACGCCCAAGTTTGAACAATCGAAAATAGCACAAATCAATAAGTACATAATAGGGATTCCAGATGGATAAATAGAAAAAATAATAATGTGTATAATTTGTATGAACCTGGATTTTTTTTTCATCCGACCTGGAAAAACCTGGAAAACTCAGGGAATTTGATTCCTTGGATTGAGTAGACAACCACAATTTTCATGCGGTAGCAAATTTCAACAAGGTTCTAGGCCTATCTATGCGGACATGACTGCTAGTAAAACAATTAATAAGAATTCTAGCGATCGTCAAAGAAATAATTCAATTTTTTTTCTGAAGTTCCTTTTGAGTACTGTGAGTTACATACTTCATCAAACTAATGTAATAGGATTGTAAAAAAATAATTATCAGTTCAAGTCACTTTCAACTTCTAGTTAACTTCGCATTGGGGATGATTTCCGATATGCCCATAGACCATTACTTCATCTTCTCGGATAGTCTCAGTTCGATTGAGGCTATTCGGTCGATGAAACAAGGTAGGCACTCATCTTATTTCCTTTCAAAGGTAAGGGAGCAGATGAGTTTGCTGGTCGAAAGATCATATATGATTACCTTTGTATGGGTCCCCTCACATTGCTCAATCCCAGGCAATGAGAAGGCAGACTCTCTCGCAGATCGGCGAGATTTATGATAGAAGAATTTCACATGATGATTTTTTCCCATTAGTACGTCAGAGTTCTCTTTTAAGTTGGCAAAACGATTGGACAAGTAATTCTCTTGGGCGGTGGTTACATTCCATTATTCCAAATGTTTCTTCGAGAGCGTGGTTCAAAGGTCTGGATGTAAGTCGGGGATTCATTCGAGTGATGTCAAGACTTATGTCCAACCACTACTCGCTAGACGCACATCTCTATAGAATAAACCTCGTTGACAGCAATATATGTAGGTGCAGAACCGGTTATGATGACATCGATCACGCAGTTTGGTATTGCCCGGGTAATGACGCCTCCAGAGCATGACTATTGGATACCCTAGTGGCCCGAGGTAGACAACCCTTCCGTGAAGTAAGAGATGTATTGGGAACACGTGATCTTCCCTACATGCAGGCGATCTACGAATTCCTTTGTTTGTCTGATGTTAGAGTTTGATGTGACCATCCCATCCTTTCCAAACAATTTCCCGCCATTGTGTCCCAGTCTTATAATCCTCCTGTTCCTGTGCTACTTGCCCCTGCCCAGCCAGGATTTGGTCAACCGTCCGAGAGTAGTATCTGAAGGAGGTTTTTGAAACCAGTTTCCTACCTAGCTCCTTCCAATCGAAATTGTTACCCATTAACCTCGAGCCCGCCACGAGTAATTGGTACCCAATACTAACCTAGCACTACTGCTATTTAAAATGTAAAATCAAACATTACTGATTTTGGCTCCGCAAAGTGTCACACACGACTGAGCCTAGTAAATAAACGAACTAGTTAAAAAAAAGTCACCCCGTCAAAGGGTACAGTTGCAATACCGATTATATATTGATTATATAGGGTATACGTCCCTAACCTCGGTCTAATATGCAGCCATAGATTACGTTTTTAATCATAACTCATCAATTAATTTACCTGCAAACGATATTCTACTGCTAAATGGTATGCTTAGATATGCTTATCATGTCGTTTGCTATCAGGAACCGCAAAAAGTTGAAAAACTTACTTTTTTTAAGACAAAAACTCACCAGGGAAATGTATGTAATATCGGTCTATTGTCCCCAAATTGGGTCTATTTATGGATGCAACTTCGTCCTATCCTGTTTGATTCTCAAAAAAAAACGCTCTTGGTAACGTTTTCTTATGTATTTTTTTTTATCACTATCACTGTTAACTTAATACTCTTCATTCCTCAAAACATTTCTTAGAGAAAATTTTACGAAAACTACATTAAATCACTCAAGTTAAAAATTAAAAATTAAAAATTTCGCTTATCGTCTTTCGACCGCAGAATATCTAAATCAAAACATTGTGATGTTCATTATACAGATTTGGCAGAAAAAATCTCCCTTCCTGTTCGTTCCTTATCATCCAAATGCAAACCACATTGTTGACGTTACTCTTATTGCTATATGCTGTCAAATGAATTTCATGGGCCAAAGTTAGGAACATAGAAAAGAAATGTGTCCCTAAAGTTGGGTCCATGATTTACTTGTGAAAACGTTGTTAAACAATTAAAATAAACATAAAATATTCAAACAGTAACTGTGAGTTTTACGTCTAGTGTGTATTATCAGATAATTCCATTCAATAAATGCCATAATCAGGCCATTTGATGATCGTCAGTGCAACCTTCCCATCTTAACCTTAGAAGTCATGGCGGCTAAAAACTCCGAACAGAGTGATATTCTCAACCAGTTTTATTACTTACGAGAGCTGAAAATGTATTGAAATGTTGTGATATAAATTGATTTGTGTGTGGTACACATTTATCAATCATCAGTGATCAATATTTTCCTTATTTTTTGTGTAATATTCCTTAATTAATTATTTATTTGCGTGATAGGCCGAATGAAAGGACTAGACCCACATTACATACCGTAACCCTATTATTATAATTTTATGTTAATTAAAAGTGTCATAAATGTGTATATTTTTCAATTTTAGAGTATAGCCAAAGTACAGTTATAGGATGTACTAATTTTTGAAAATATATGTAGTGAGAACAAAGTTTGACGGTAGATTATTATCTCTGTATAGGGAAATACATTCTAATGTTATTTTTATTCTTTGCAATTTCAGAATCGATTCAATTTCTGCTGATATGGAGGCCCTTCTTCAGCAAATTCTGTTGATTATGCCGGAAGATTGTGATGTTTCACTGTACATTGAGCCAATAATGGACTTTATCAACGGGAAAGGGAATAATATTCCTAAAATTACTCGAAAGGATGTATTGTGCTTTAAAATCAGACCAATATATTATTTCTTAGCGGACTTCTACTTCAAGAGCAGAGATTTCAGTAAAGCCATAAAGTATTATGTTTTGGATTTAACTGTTGAACCAGCACGGTTTGATTCATGGGCTGGAATTTCATTATCAAAAGCCAGTAAATGTGAAACCACGTTAAATTCTGCAGAGGCACTCAGGTAAGTTTTCAGCTTAAACTTTTATATGAATCTTGATCCCTATTACTGTCTTGACTGACTCATGCCGAATGCAATTTGTTTCCGCCGAAGCATGAAATCGCCTAACACTATAAATGAGTGATTTTCCATCGCATAGTTCATACCACTGAATAGGAAGTTCGTATATACAAAATGCCAGTCTACCTTTATAATTTTTAATAATCACCCATATTCTTGTTTTCGTTCAAACCGTATTTTGCATTAATTTTTTTTTTGTATGGAAAATACGGTTCGAAAAAAAAAAAGTTTTTTTTTATGGAAAATACGGTTTGAACGAAATCGAAAATATGGGTGTATACTAGACCTGTTCATTTTAAACGAAATGTTCGGAATGTAACGGGTCAACCGTGATTACTGTTCGTCATGTTAATTTGAACTTTTGTGCAAATTTTCAGCAAAATCGGTGTTGATTTAGAGGTGCTTCTAGTTAATTTTATGTTTTCAAGGTAATTTACGGCTTATAATATTTGTATCTCGAGACTGAAACAACGAAAGCTGCTGTAACAACTTTCATAGTAAAGTTTAATGTGTCATGTATCAACTTTGTAACCAAAGGTTGACTATTCGAAGTGATTTTATTGAAGTTTGACTTAGTTTCATGCTCGAAGATATCTTAAAATGTGAAGAATTTTAAAGTATTTGTTCTACGAATTTTCCACCCATATGATATAAAAATGTGTAGTGTACGGCATAATGTTCCTCATATTGTTCTAGAAGTTTCGTTCGCCTTTGATAAAAAAACACGTCTACTGAGAATTCATATTTATGAAAAAAACATATATCAATCAAACAGTCATCGGTCGTCATTGAAAAGCAATGCAACTATGTTCTGTCAATCTAATTGACTTTTATTGGTTCTGTTGTCTTGTGAATTTTAGCTAAACGGCCTCTTTTCTGATTTTTATCTCTCAATCTATGAAATATACGACCAATTCCACGCCAAATCGGTCAGTCACCAAACTTGACTATCTTCGATCTGAATGATACTTGGCACATATTTTCAGTATGATAGACCAAGTATTTTCCGCAGGAGAGGAGACCCTTTTGACTCAAGGGTAATTATTGAAAAGGGCCTATGTGTTTTTGCACACATACTTTAAAAAAAATGTAGTTCGAAAACAGTTGGTTGTAGAAAAAAATTAAAAAAGAAGGAGTTGTAGGAAACTAATAAGGCTTTATAAAAAAAATATACACGGATTTTTTTTTTCGTTTTTTTACAAAAAAAAAAAAATTAAAAATAAACCTCAAAATTCAAATAACAAAAAAAAAAACGTATTTTTGATTTTTTTTTTATATTTTTTTAATAAAAACTTGAATAGAAAGCAGAAGTTTTGAAAACAACTCCAGGATGGACAAACTTTTAATAAAAAAGTTTTTCTAAGAGCAACTTTTAAGGCATTTTTGAAACTTTCATTATTTACGGCAAAATGTTCAGTTTGATGTCAGTATATGAATATAAAAATCATTTCAAAGATAGTGCTCATATCGATAAACTTCCTAAATGTAACCGTTTTCAAGATATTTCAAATTTACTTTCATCATAATCAATTTTTTGTAGAAAATATGCCCTTTTCGTAAGTTATACGTGATTGTCCATCAAATATGATAAGTTTTGCAAGATACGCATGTACTTACCTTCAACTTACCCTTGCACCAATAGACTATTGGAAGATTGGTTTTAAACTTATAAGATAAATAAGATAAATAAATGAAATACCCATGCGTTTTTATTTGCATCTTACATTTATTACTTTCGATCGTCTTTAATAATAATAATTTGTACATAAACCTTTTCGTTGAATATATTTTTATTTGATGAACTTTTGATTGGTATGTTTTTATATGTTATGAATTTTTAATTCTACCTGATTCGGAATAATAAATGTAAAAAGGAAGAATAGCAGCTTGTTGATTATTCCAGTAACTACTTTGGGCAGCATCTTGAAGAACAAATGAATAATTTTCGGAAAAATCCCAAATTATGACAACTTCTCCATTTTTAAGAGTATTTTTTGTATTTCTCAAGAAACTAGACTGCTGAGTTTTAATATAATCATGGGATACCAGTTTTTCCAACTTTTCGCAAAAATAAGGAACAAATCCATCTACTGGTTTTACAAGTTTCTCTAAACTACATCGATCAGTTGAAACCCATTGTTCAAAACATATTTCAGACATACCCTGTTCCTCGAATTTTTCTGAAAAACTTCTTTCAAAATCTGAGAGACCTGGGCAACGTTCGCATTCGCGGAGGTAACAATGATGAGCTGCATAATATTTCTTCAAAATAATGGTTGAAATCTTTTTCGAATGAATATTTTCTAAGACAATGAAGCATTAAATTAATATTTTCATGGATGGTACAAACACACATATTGTGAGAACCTGAACTACCAAGTAATTTGCAATGCTTTGGTTTAAGTGCTGCAAATGAACTAAATCCAATGCTATTTTTACTAACTTCTTGAAATTTAATAAAAGCTTCTCGCAATGTACAAACTAAAAGTCGCTTTTGAATATGAATCTTCTTACCTTCCTTCTTCACTGAAACGTAATCGTTTAGTCCTGGCGTGGCTCTGCTTATCTGGTCGCTTTCAAAGAACTGCAATACCTCGTTTTTAATTTCGGGATCCAAACCGTGTCCTAACCTTTCGTTGGGAGTGGCCAATACTCCTTTCCCGTTTGCCAAGCATCGAGCTTGCAATACAATGTATTTATTTGTTTCAAACTCGTCCATTACCGTTTGCGATGACCAAGATTTCGGCAAAATCGTCAGAATCCTTATTTGATCGTCGCTCGATGAACCTGGATCAGCAAATCTCTCCTTCAGTTTTCCGATCATCTCATTGTGTTCCGCAGCTTTCAATTTAAGTTGCTCCAGGTCATCTTCTTCCGCTTGAAAACCAAAGATGCGTTTCTTAATGCCATTGGTATTGTCCATATACTTTCTCCGGGGATAGTTAACATTCTGGAATTTTTTTGTCGATATTGGCGATACGTTGATACCAGCTATGCCAGCTCAATATTATGCATCCTGGAAAATTGTTGCTCTCCACTATCTTGAGATGATGCTGTTGTTATTGACGTAGTTGATGGCATTTCTTCGAGGCTATGTCGAGATGTAGATGGCTGCGGCTCCGCGATGTCCATGACTGACGGGTGCACTTCTAGTTCCAGATTTTCAGCACATGATTCGATTCTATTCAAATTCAAGCGAAACGTATCACAGATTGATATAGATGTATCCAAATTAAATTTCCACTCTAGGAACTTATGTTTTTCAATCAAATTTTCGGATAATTTACGAAGCATTGACGAACACCGTTTATAAGGAACCTTCTTGAATTCCATATTCAAATTATACTTGTTCACTCAAAAAGATATTTTTAGTGATGTCTGTTTTCAAAAGGATGGTCATGCTTAAATACAAACGTAGGTACCATTTGGATATTAAGGTATAAATATTGTTTTGGTATTGAAGCTACTCTAACAGAGAAGCTCTTTTTTTTCATGAAAAATACCATGGAAGACATTATAATGTCCCTAAAATAATGAGATGGATAGGTGCATCAATATTAACAACTTAAATAGGATGAAACTACGCCTGATAATGAAAATAAGTGCAACTTAACTTGTGTTGGTTTCTATATTTAAAATAATAGTGTTTTCATTTCCCCTGTAAATTCTAAACGGGTTGTCTGATTGTTCAATCGTCAAAAGACAAATTGAAGGTAAATATATGTGTATCTTGCTAAACTTATCAAGGCTGATGGAGAATCACGATTAACTTATGAAAATGGCATATTTTCTACAAAAAAAAATGATTTTTATGAAAGTAAATTTGAAATATCTCGAAACCTTTATATTTAGGAAGTTTATTTATATGAGCACTATCGTTTGAAATGATTTTTATATTCATATACTGACATCAAACTGAACATTTTGCCGTAAATAATGAAAGTTTCAAAAATGCTTAAAAAGTTGCTCTTAGAAAAACTTTTTTATTAAAAGTTTGTCCATCCTGGAGTTGTTTTCAACACTTCTGCTTTCTATTCAAGTTTTTACTAAAAAAAAAAAAAAAAATCAAAAATACGTTTTTTTTTGTTATTTGAATTTTGAGGTTTATTTTTAATTTTTTTTTGTAAAAAAACGAAAAAAAAATTCCGTGTATATTTTTTTTATAAAGCCTTATTAGTTTCCTACAACTCCTTCTTAGTAAATTTTTTTCTACAACCAACTGTTTTCGAACTACATTTTTTTAAAGTATGTGTGCAAAAACACATAGGCCCTTTTCAAAAATTACCCTTGAGTCAAAAGGGTCTCCTCTCCTGCGGAAAATACTTGGTCTATCATACTGAAAATATGTGCCAAGTATCATCCAGATCGAAGATGGTCGAGCACGATTTCAGGTTTTTTCAGCTCATTCTGGATGGAATCCCTCATACACGAAAACTATGTTGGAACGAAGCTTCTAGAACAATATGAGGAACATTATGCCGTACACTACACATTTTTATATCATATGGGTGGAAAATTCGTAGAACAAATACTTTAAAATTCTTCACATTTTAAGATATCTTCGAGCATGAAACTAAGTCAAACTTCAATAAAATCACTTCGAATAGTCAACCTTTGGTTACAAAGTTGATACATGACACATTAAACTTTGCTATGAAAGTTGTTACAGCAGCTTTCGTTGTTTCAGTCTCGAGATACAAATATTATAAGCCGTAAATTACCTTGAAAACATAAAATTAACTAGAAGCACCTCTAAATCAACACCGATTTTGCTGAAAATTTGCACAAAAGTTCAAATTAACATGACGAACAGTAATCACGGTTGACCCGTTACATTCCGAACATTTCGTTTAAAATGAACAGGTCTAGTGTATACTGATGAATAATTTACTCAAAATAGGATTTAATTGAACGTTTTTATTCAGCAATTAATTTGAATGGTG